AACTATACTCGAAAATTTACAATTTTTTAGTAACTGCTAAGCAAGAACATATTACTGCCACCTCGGTCATTTATCAGAGAATAGAAGAAGATCCCTGGATTTTGCAAAATGATTTAAGAAGGGTTGTAGATCAAGCCATAGGGTTTGCTAGTAATCTATATGTTGAAGAACCTTCGCGCCAATTAAAACTTCTCCGAATACTTCCCCAGGTTAGTTATAAAGTTTTATTAATATTTCTTTTCCACTAGATGATAATATTATGTGATCCACTCACAGGAACGAGATCTGAAATATAGTATATTCATCCTATTAGCCTGCAACAAAAGGAACTATTCCTTGAACTATATGGAGGACGTTTAAACTATCGCTTATGTTTTAATCATTCCATTAGCTCTGCCTTAAGAATTTTTCTCGATGCATGAGGGGATGATTAATTTATATTATATAGTTATTTTAGAGTATCACACAAAGTTTCATCAGCGTGATGGCCACACTAAGATGATAACTTTGCATATGTACTGATAGCATATGCGTTTTTTTAATGATGAAATTGGTATATTGCTGAAACTAACGCATCATCTAATTATATTAGTTTAAGATAGCTTTTGAAGGAGTCTGTAGTTTGCGTGATATAGGAGCAGTTAAAATGAATAAGAAAAGACCTCTTAACTCTGACGAGATTAAAAAAAATATAAATGAGCTGAAGGCCAAACTCAAGAAAAATACAACGATGCCGATTAACCAGCATCTATACTTCAGTATAGATAATGTGAATATTTCTGAATTATCATGGATGGACCCTCTAGCCAGTCAAGTAATGTCTGACAAGTCGGAAATTGTAAAAAAGTTGCCAGGCCAATTTAAGCATACTTTTATGAAGCCAGTATGACAAATGGTACCTTTATCTCTTTCATCCGCAGTGAAAAGAAAATGTAATGAATTCGTTGCTACTTTCATTGAGAATCGTGAAATTGATATTCCAAGAAAACTTATACATGATGGGACATGAAAAGAAACAGAAAACGAGCTTTCAATAATCACGGAGAGAATTTTAGATACATTGTAAGTATTTTTTTAATAATATTTTGTGATTTTCCATTCTCTGCTCACTGCTTATGTCTTGCTATTGATACTAGAAGCGATTCTTGGAATAATCCTGCATTTGAAGCGAATTTTGTGAAATCCCTGAATGAAGGTACTTACGTGATCAATGTGATAGTACCAGCGATTCGGGCAATATTGAAGAATCTTCCTCTAGGAAAATCTACATTCATTAGTAGCTCTGAATGTTGAAACCGGCAAAAATTGATGAACCTGTCAAATATGCCAAATATGCCAGATCTGTCAGATCTGCCAAATCTGCTATATCTGCCAAATAGAACATATATATTATTTATTATATTTCTATTATTTATATCATTATTATCATTTATAACATATTTTACATAATTAGCATATCTG